ATCAGACATGAATTACAATGCTTAATCAATTATGAGGGTTGTATGGCGAAGGTGATGGTGGCAGCTGTTCTTTGATGGTACTGATGATGAAGATGACGACGACAATGATGATGTTCAGCATGATGTCAAAGATTATCCGATTGTCGACTCGCGTCGCCGTCTAGAGCACAACATCATGAGCAGTACCACCGACAGCAGGCACACCTGCAAACAAGGCCAACCAAAGCCTCAGCTGGGGGGGGGTGCACAGCCCACCATAACAACGAAACTACAGGGGCGGGGCGGGGAAGGGCAGGCCCCACCCCACAGGGGGGCGGGAGGGGGATACCATGGGGTGGGGGGGGAGGGGGGGTGTGGCAGCCCTGCATCATATATATGTATATATATATATGTGTATATATATATTTTTTTCTTTTACGTGTACATTTCTACCCTGGAAAAGAAATCGCCTTGCCACTTGTCCCACTTCGTCTTCATCCATTGATTCCCACAGGGAACCGCCCAGGGCTTGAGCTCCACAAAATCGTCCTCGCTCTTCGCCTGCCAGCCCCCAACACCCTGAGAGCTCCTGTAGCCGTCAACCTCCAAAGCCTAGCGCCGCGAAACCCTATAAACCGTATAAACCTTACACACGCTGGTAAACCCAAAACCATTCCAAACCCGATACCTTCCACACACTACAAACCCAAGAAGCCCCTATAAACCCGATAAGCTCGAAAAGACCCCCCACATTCAGCGACCCTCGCAACCTTTTGAAGCCTGTTCTATGCGCCCAAACCCCGCCTTCCAATCCGCCTCGGTCGCCTGGTTGTTGCTTCCGGTCCTGGGTTCTTGATATAGTTTAAGTTGCCAGAATAGGGATCTATAGTACATAACATGGTTTCCTTGTTATCGTAAGTTCATAAAATGGTTCTTGTTATCGTAAGTTAAGGTCTTATTAAGGAGCTTGCTTTGTGTGGGCATACTAGGAATCAATTGTGCTGAATATGGCTTCCTTGTTATGGTAACTTAAACTCTTGGCAGGAAGCTTGGTTTATGTTGCCATACCAGGGATCAATTGTACTGAATATGCTTGCTTGTTATGGAAAGTTAAGCTCCTGGCAAGCAGCTTGGTTTAAGTGGCCATACTAGGGATCAATTGTACTGAATATGGCTTCCTTGTTATGGCAAGGAGCTTGGTTTAAGCGGGCATACTAGGGATCAATTGTACTGAATGTCGCTTCAGTGGTATTGTAACTTAAACTCTTTGTAAGGAGTTTGGTTTAGGTGGCCATACCAGGGATCAATTGTACTGAATATGGCTTTCCTGTTATGGTAACTGAAACCCTTGGCAAGGAGCTTGGATTAAATATGGCTTCCTTGGTATGGTAACTTAAACTCTTGGTATTGAGCTTGGTTTAAGTGGCCATACTTGCTATGGTAGCTGAAACATTTTGTGAGGAGCTTGGTTTACGAGGCCACACTAGCTATGGTAGCTTGAACTGTCGGTCAGGAGCTTGGTTTGAGTGGCCATACCAGTGATTGTACTGAATGTCGCTTCCTTGGCATTGTAACTTAGACTCTTGGTCAGGAGCTTGGTTTAAGTGGCCATACTAAGGATCAGTTGTACTGAATATGGCTTCCTTGTTATGGCAACTTGAACTCTTGGTAAGGAGCTTGGTTTAAATGGCCATACTAGTTATGGTAGCTTAAACTCTTGGTAAGGAGCTTGGTTTAAGCGGCCATACTAGGGGTCAATTGTACTGAATATGGCGTCCTTGTTATGGTAGCTTGAACTCTTGGTAAAGAGCTTGGTTTAAGTGGCCATACTAGTTATGGTAGATTGAACTCTTACATACTAGGGATCAGTTGTACTGTATATGGCGTCCTTGTTATGGTAGCTTGAACTCTTGGCAAGGAGCTTGGTTTATGTGGCCAAGATAGTCATGGTAGCCTAAACTCCTAGTAAGGAGCTTGGTATAAGTGGCCATACTAGGGATCAGTTGTACTGATTATGGCTTCCTTGTTATGGTATCTCAGGGCTAACCTCCCCAACCCTAAACCCCAAACCCTAAACCCTATACCCCAAACCCTAAAACCTTTATATCATCAACCTAAACCCTAAACCCTAAACCCTAAACCCTAAACTCCCCAAGAAGAGCCCAGCGTCATCCGTATGAACATGAGCCCAGCGTCATGTTCTTCGGTGCGAAGGCCAGGCAGGAGCCGGTGGAGGTTTCCCTGCCCTGGAACCTGCGCTATTTCTGAGGCTTTGCTTTATGGCTTTTCGAAGGCTTTTCTAAGGCTTTTTCTAAGGCTTTTCTAAGGCTTTATGAGCCTTTTTTGGTGGCTCGGGTAGGTTTTGAGTCTTTAAACTCTTTGCGAGTTTGAGGGTTTGAAGGGCTTGTTGAAGGTTTATAGAGCTCTGGCCTGCTGGCGAGTCTGGGACGATGGCCCCCCTGAACCAGCGCTGGCCCCCTACCCTCCGAATATTCAGCCCTGACCCTAATCCGCAAACTCCAAGAGAGTTTCAAAGGCCTGCAAGGCCTACGTAAGCCCTAAGCCCCTAGGATGCCGAGGCACTGGGTGACAAGCGTGTGGGCTTCTGGCCCATAGTCTTCGAAGCTGAAACTCACGGCTGCCGGCGGCTTCTCGTCGTCGCCCTTGCTGTTGCAAAGGGCTCAAGGCTTTTCGGCTGTAGCTTCTAGGGCTCTTGAGGTGTGTAGGGTCTAACTTACACAGCACTTAAAGTTTAGGGTGTGGGGCTTCGTTCTGAGATTCAAGGTCTAAGGTTGGACTTTGCTATATTGCTGTATTATTCTACATTTATAGCATAAGATCAAGAGTGGATTCCCGAGCGACCTTCTGCAAGAAGCTGCTTGGCCGCGCGGAGGGCGCGCGCTCCGAATGCGTGCTGATGAGGAGATTTGCCCCTGGGGATTCGATCTGATCTGCTGGATTAGGGCTTTAGGGTTTATGGAAGCTTAGGGTTTAAAGATCTAGACCTTGGATGGCCCCAAACTCTTGCTTAAGTTGATGACCTTGAGATGAAGAGCTCAGTCTGCATAGCATTTCGGGGCTTGGGCACGGAGCGCGTTTCAGGGCGCCTTCATGTTTGGGCTTCTTTGTGACAGGGAACGGGGGGGGGGAAGCCTCATTTCCATGTTGTGGGCTTCAGCCCGAGCTGTATGCGCTAGCGTCACCATTATTTGTTCATGCCTATCATGTCGAGGGAATGGAGCGTCCTGTTGTGCAGTGTTTGCGGGTATCGGCTTTAGCTAATTTGACGCTTCTTATTTGGAAGTAGCCATGTCGAAGGTTTTGCATTTGATGGGTGGCTAGGCTGGCTGCTTGTATTTCAGATTGTTGAATGCGCCCGCAGCAAATCTCCTCTTACCTCTCACACCAAGGCATGGTATCGCAAACACGGACAAGAACCCGAAACAGCGTGTCGAAATGCTACTCTGACTACAACATCGGCATCTTTTTTGCAAGAGCAATCCAAAAAAGATCCACCCCGAAGAGCCCAGAGCCAGAAACCATAAGCCCTAAACCCCCAAATCCTAAATTTCCCAATATGCCGGCTTGAGAGATAGCCCGCCATGCCCTGCCTCTGTGGTGGACCTGCGGCGGGGCGCCGGCGGCCGGAAACTCCGAGGCAGCCGCGATCTGAAGCAGCGACTGGCCTTCCTTCAGTTCCATTTTTGGGGGGCTGGCGGGTTCAAGATTAAAAAGAATTCCTGATTGAGGACAGGGCTTTATTGAGGTTTTTCAACGGCCGAGGACGTTAGGTTCAAGACTGTAAGGTCTTGCATTTTGGGGCGGGGAGGGGTGGCTTTCAGACGTTTTGGTCTCTGTTTGATTAACAAAAGGATCCTAGCAATCTCGGAGATCTGTGGAGGACGCTGGCGAGGGGGATCTCGGCACCCCGAATTTCCCAGCCTAAACACCTCAAGGTTTCGAGAACAGCTTTGCAAACGGCATGCGATGGGGCCTTCATCGCCGATGTGGCCACCGTGCTGGCCACCTGTCTCAGACGCACCAAAAAAACCTCTAGGGGCCCAAAACACCATAAAGCTTTAGAGTCCTAAACCATAAACCCGCGCCTAAGTCCCCGTCATCTGGGGTCAGGGTAAACAGAGCTTCGGGCCTATATTGGGCTTTCGGGGTTTTCTGGGTTTTGACAGGTTTAGGCTTCATGTAGCTTTGTGCCGGTGTAGGTGCCCGAGAGCTGCAGTGCTGTCCATTCATTGAGGAGTAAGCTCTAGACCAGGACCACTACACACCAAGCTGCCAACCCGTAAACGTTGTAAACCACACACCGCAGAACCCTTCAACTCGAAACAACTCAGTGCTGAACCCTAAACGATATGCCGATCCTTTGTGAACATGGGGCTGGCTGCTGCTGCATGTCGGGGGCCTTGGCAAAGACCTCGATGAACTCCTCGGTCGGGCAGGGTTTTGCTTTGACGAAACCCTATCTACTGAATCCCGAGCCGTACACTCTACACCTGAGCTCCAGCCAAGATTCCGTGAAAATGTCGCCGAGGCGGTTCAGGAAGTTCAGCGGCGGCACGCTGGCAATAATCTTGGAGCCAAGACACTTGATCAGGTCGCCGTGAGAGTTGGGCTGGGCACACTCGATGATCGTGCTGAGCTTGCCGCCTTCGGGCTTTTTGTGTTCAGGGTTTAGGAGTCTGCAGAGCCAGGGTTTTGGGGCTTGGATGTTCTACGGCGCGACTACGGTTCTAAATCCGAATGGAGCTGGGCCGCCTGCAAGGACCTGCACCGGTCCAGGCAAGAATGACAAGGGGAGATCGCCACCTGCAAGGGCCTTCATCGGTCCAGGCAGGAAGTCCGTCCCCGCATACTTGGCAACCGAGCTGGCAAGGCACTTGGTCACCTCGACGTGGTTGTGGTTTGTGCCGCAGTTGTGGATGACCTCAAATCCAACGTGCTGAAAAACCTTGAAATGGTCCGGCAGGAAGTCGAATGGGGGAGCATACTTGGCAAGCGAGCGAGCAAGGCACTTGGTCACCTCAACGTGGTTGTGGTTTGTGCCGCAGTTGTGGATGACTTCCCATCCAACGTGCTGAAGAACCTTCACATGGTCCGGCAAGAAGTCGAATGGGGGAGCATACTTGGCAAGCGAGCGAGCAAGGCACTTGGTCACCTCAATGTGGTTGTGGTGTCCTGGGCAATGGTGCATGACTTCCCATCCAATGTGGCCAAGTATTCCAAAATGCCCAGGGAAGAGCTCGTTAATCCTGCCATCCGTGACTTTCCTCACTTGCTCCGGCAGGAAGTCGAGTGGGGGAGCTTTCTCGGCAAGGAGCCGGGCGAGGCACTTCCCGACTGTAAGGTGGTTGTGGTGACCGGCGCAGTGGTGCGCCAGGTCCCATCCCACGTGGCCGATGGCTCGCAGTTCTGACGGAAATGGAATCTGATGCGTGCCAAGATCAAACCCGAACAAGCCGGTCGACTGTCCGATCAAGCTGATCTTGCAGCTGAAGGACCCGAACCTGATCCTGAGCAGGGGGACAAAACCCAGAACACGCGAATCGGTTGAGGTACCTTGCTTACTGGACTCCTATTGCACGCCTAGCTAGGCAGGCCTATCTTGTTTAGCGCCCTGTCTATTTCCACACAAAGGGCAACCAGGAATCCTGAGACCATTGCCCATGTCGAAGTTTACGAAGCCAGCAGCTGTTCTGTGGGGGCAGCTCGCGCCAAAATCTGAAAAGCCATTGCTCAGAACCTTGATGGCGACTTCAACAGTGTTGATCGTGTTTTCCGCCAACCATTTCGCCTGGGTGAGCAGATGTGGCAAGCAAAATAGCTCGAACAAGCATATGTTAGTATTAGGGATTAGGGTTCAGGGTTTACCTACCCACAGGGCCCAGTGCTTGGGCCGTAGCTTAGGGCTTCGGGTTCTCTCCGCCTTGTCCTTCGCAGCGTTATAGCCGTCCGACATCGTGTCGGCCACACTCTTCGCGATATGAACCGGATTCCACCTTCGTCTTCGGTGTTTCCACGGCCAGCTTACCTCACCGTTCCAATAAGCTCTAGGGTGTAGGGTCGAGGACAGCTTGCCTCTAAGCACGCGCTAATCCGCTAATCAAGGGCCCCCTGACCGGGAGGACCCTTGTGCGCGCCAGCTGGACGAAAACAAGAAGACCAGCATTGGAACAGCAGTCACACAGATCACAGCAACAAGCAGGAATACTGCCAGAGCAGACGCATGTACACAGCGAGAGCCAAGCCCTAAACTCTTCAAGTCTCGCGCCCTCAGGCCCTAAACATCCCTAAACCCTCCTCTCGGGGCCGTAATAACTAGAACAGGTTTTTGGGGTACAGTATACCATAATTAGAAATAAGGAACCCCCAAAATAGTCTAGGGAATCATTTAGGCCCCTACATAAAACTTGTCAAAACGCCTAAACCCTAAACCGTAAACCCTAAACCCTAAACCCTGTCTGCTGCCTTCTCTGGCGNNCCCCCCCCCCCCCCACCCAAAAGCCAAATCATGAACCAGTTGCAGACTCGTCCGTGGAAGATGACTGCTGCGAGGTCGCACCTTCACCTGCGAGCTCGACCTCTGGCTCTTCAACCTCCGACTCTGGGTCTTCATGGAACTTGCCTGGGCTTCGAAAGTTCTTCATCCTTCATCACAAACCCCAGTAACCCATGACCCTAATCTAACACATAGTAGGAGACATCATATGATAGAATTATACAAACAGAACATAATAAAACTATGATATATAGTCTAAGGGTTCGTCTAAGACGAAGGGGCTCGAAAGGTTTCAGTTTAGGACTCTGGGGTCTCTACGCTTGGAGATATTTTGGGCCAAGAAGTCTTTTTGGGATTTAGGCTTTGACGGCTTTAGGCTTCTATGGCTTATGTAAGGCTCTAGGCTTTTAGGGTTTTTCTTGAGCACCAATTTCTTCTCATGGTTTTTAAGTTTTAGGATTTAGGGTAGTAGTAGTGGCTTTAGGCCCTTAGGGTTTATGGGAGTCCAAGGCAGCTAAGTCTCGCGTCTCGCGCTGGCGGGTGTGCTTCTTAATCACAGTCGTCAGGATATTCTGGGCCTCGCTCAATCCTGGGCTATGGAGTAACCCAGAGGAAAAGCTGGCCTAAACTCCTATTCTGTGCTGGCTCCCGTAAGCCCCAAAATACCAACAAAGTGTTGAAAAGGTACGATATTCACAAAAATAAATGTTGAATGGTACGATAGTCTCCAAACCAAAGCCCTTAACCCCTAGGCCCAGAATCGTGTTTGGGCATCCTTGTGCTCAATCTCCAAGAAGAGCCCTCCTGTGGGGCCTCCCTCACGGCCTTCGCCCTTCAAAGCCTCGATCTCCTTCTAGGGGCTTTTTCGGGGTTTAGGTTTCGAGCAGAGTTTCAGGTTTAGGGCTCCCTGTAGGGGCTTAAAAGGTTGCAGTGCCCTCTCATATGGTCTTCCGCGAGGATTGGGTCCCGACCATGCCATGTACAATCTTGTGGGTTTTCCTTGGCAAAACACGGTGTCCTTCTGTTGTGCTTCGATCACCTTGCGATGCTCATCGATCTGCAGCTGCTGCGTCTCGATGCGGGCTTCATGCATCTCGGCAACCGTCTCAAGCTGCACGACCTTAAGCAACAGGAACTCCAGGTTCTTCGCCAGGTCGCCGAAACCTTCGTTGGTCTCGTTATTCTCGCTCTCGTTGTCACCCATGGGATTCGGAATCCCGTGGATGTCCTTCATGTCCGCCTGCAAGTTCTCGGAAACCACTTCCTCAATGATCTTGTTCGAGGTTTCGTTGTGGGAGTCGGAAAACTTGATCGGGGCATTGGATCCGGAGAGTTTGAAGGCCAGCGAAGCTGTCCAACAAATGGCCAGCATCAACATGTTGATGCACATCTTTTGCTTCATTAAAAGCACCGCAAGCAGTCAAGAGCCGTTGAAAGGCTCTCGGGAAGCTGGGATGCTGAGATACGGAGTTGCTTGAGCAGATAGGCTACGGGAGGAAAATCGTCAGCAAAGGGTTCATCAACCCACGGCAGTCCGCAGCAAGCCTTGCAAAAAGAGCATTACGCACACACCTAGCATCTGAGGCTCCGGGAATAAAGAGCCATTTGTCTGAAGATGTGGGTAGTTCTCTAGACTCGGTTCCCTTTTTTTCGGTCTGGGTTATAGTACGCCACCCTTATAAAAGGACCCTAAAAGGTAGGCTAATTTGGAGAACTACCCATGTAGATACCAAGGCTACGACGACGATGGCGAGGACGACTACTTTCTTCCTGATGTTGCTACTAAGTTGATACCTCATGCCAGGCTGCGGACCACTCGCAGCAAACTAATCCAAGACTCATGTATCCCTGAGACCGCAAACCACGCTCTAGCCCAAACCATGCAGATCCACGTAGATGTGCTAAGCAAAGCTAAACCCCCATAGCGCCCAAATTTTGGGGAACGGAGCCAGTCCCAATCGCCCACTGCAGTGCGTTTTGGCTGTGAAAGGGTCTCAAGCCCCTTGAGGTCCGCGAGACTCAGTGATACGCACAAAACCATGTCAATGTCCGAGTGAGGCTCTGGGCGTGAGCCGTGAATGCACATGCCCCAGGATCAAAGCCTGTAAGCTTCTAAGCCTGGACGGGAATAGACCAAGATCGACCTGCGTTGCCTTTTGTCTTCTGGACCATACATGGCATGCTCTCAAAACCAAGCCCTGAAGTAAACCTCGACACCTGCAGATGGTGCACGGAGTGGCATGTCCGCATGATGTTTTTGCGCAGTTGTGATGCTTGAGGTAACTTCGTCCGTGAAACGACAGAAATTACTGAAGCCTAGCCGTGGAAATTGAAACACCAATGCAGAGATCATAGTCCTCCGAGTAAATATGGCATACGGCTACACTCGTCATGGTAACTGTAGCATTCGTTGTAGCTATCGGTGCAGTTGCGGTCTGTGATGTATCGCTCTTGCGAAACAGCCCCCGTGTATGGTATGTGCTGCTTCGGACTTCACCGATCCAGGGCTTCAGCCGGTGTTCTTCCTCAGCAGAGCGGCGTGGCAGGGCAATTGTGGCTCAGAGCCTGGAGATTTTGGTTTGGGGCCTGCCATGCAGATAGAACAAAATCAGAAAGCTAATGCCGTTGCTGCAACTCCTACTTTGTGAGGTCCAGTGTTCAACGAACCGTTCTTAAAGTGTTTGTGGCAGGAGCTGCTGGACACTCTAGCTTACTCCATCTTTGGTTCCTCATTGTTGGTGTGTAAAATTGAGTTCGAAGTTTCAGATGGAAGAGTCTTGGGGTTCGTAGTTTCGAGTTTTGGAATTGCGCGTTGAGAGCAAAAAGTGGTGGAGGGACCCTGCTAGGAGGAGGCTTTGGCTGTGCTGCACAGACATCCTGTGGAAGCATAGAGGATCTGTATTCGAAGGACCCCGAATCAGCCACCGAGTGTTGAAACGTACCCCTTTCGGAACCTCGGCAAGATCTCTGAAGCCAAAGCCTGAAACCCTAAACCCAAAACCGTAAACCCAAAACCCTAAACCCAAATCCGTAAATCCTAAATCCTAACCCTAAACCCTGAAACCGTAAACCCAAAATCGTAAATCCTAAACCCTAACCTTCCGGGCCCTCGGCGTGCGATGGGCCAAAGCTCTGGACCTGGGCCGCTTTCAACTTGCTTGTAGTTTAAGGGTTTAGGGTTTAGGGTCGGGTTTGTAGTTGCGGAGCCCTTCAAAGTATTTATGAGCAGGTACCTCTATAGTCTATCGGAACCATACAAGGAGACTATAAGGCTTCCCAAATCAAGCGATTCTTTCGAAACGCTGCTTCGGGTTTGCGGGAGGAGTGTTCAGCTGGCTCTTGTCTTCTAAGGGCCCCTTTTCCACCCCCGCATGTATGTTCAAAGTATGGTAGGGTTTAGAGTTTCACCTGCAAACTTGGAAGATCATATTGTTCACCCTGGCCCTAAACCCTAAACGTCCGGGCTTGGGCTTTACGCTGTCTTGCAGGGAGCTTCTAGGTCCTAGTGAAAGGTACCGTGCCTAAAGACAGGGGGACACATGTTGCTACTGTTTGAAGCCTATATTAAGCTCTCGCATCCGCGATTGTCAAGGCTCCAACTTCAAGGACCAGGGGACTTAGTAGGGTTCTCAATCAGGTAGGTTTAGCTCAAGTAGCATATAACCCCCAGTTTGGCTACTTATAACTTCACCTACGTGTCCCCTGATCTAGGGCTTGTGTGCTGGGTTCCGAGATGAGGATTGAAGGCTACGTTGTTTTTGAGGTTTCCAGACTTTGGAACCCTTGGAAGGTTTTATCACCTCCTTTAAATAGCCCTTCATGTCCCATTATGCACTTCTTGTCCCGTTGTTTGAAGCTCCCTGTAAACCCTGAGGTAACAAGGGTCTTCGTCGTCTTCCAAGGCTCAGTGGCGGTTGCGGGTTCGAGGGTTATCGGGTTCCCTACCTTCTCTTGACGACACTTCAACCCACAGGCTGAGGCTTGAAAGTAATTCCATTCTGGGATATCTGCCCGAGGGAGGATTCGACGTGCATTGCGCCCTTTGCGATCTGGAACTTTGCTCTCCCATCCGGTCCAGGGGGCTTTTCTTAGCTGGCGGTTTGGGTGGCTCTTTGCTTGGACCACTCTTTTGGCGGCTTGTTTCGATGTCTGGGGAAAACTCCAACGACGACGACTGTGTTTATGAGGGTTGAGGCCCCGTTGTGGGCTCGCACACTTTGAGTGCCGCCCGTCGTGAAGCGGATACTCCACAACCCCAACCCGAAGCATCAACTCAAATCAAACACCAAAAGCTCCATCCCACAGCTGACAACGGTAGTCGTAGCCTTCGATGGATCATCAATCAAACAGCCTAAAAGAAACAAAGTCCTGAACCCTTCAAAGCACTAGAGCTCTGAAGGTCCGTCGAGTGCACGGCTCCAGTGTCACACTCTCGAGGATTTCCCCACCTTGTATCAACATGAGGCGTCTACAGGAAAAGCATCTCGGCTTTTGAAAGCTACAAAAGAGATTCCAAACAGGGTCAGCTGCTTTGGAAAACCCTTCAAACGCAGCAAAGCATTGTCCGCAAACCCTGTAGCTCAAACCCACAACCCCAAGTCTACGAGCTCGACAATCCTGGACCTGGCGCCCTGTCCCTAGCATTGTCAATATTGTGTTGGAGAGCTTTATAGAAGAGACCAGAAACAAGAAGGAACCAAGAACCTTTCGACAACGCTATGACAACAGCCTCAAACCTCCCCTCCATGAGCTGCGTAGATACAAGACCCAACACGGGCTCAAGAGTGAAACAAAACTATGGGACTAATACTAAAAAATGAGGAGAAGAGTACTTATTATCACAACAACAAATAAATAAAGTAGAGATATATATATATATATACACAGATTGATTGTGCAAGTCTGGACCTGCCAACTCCACATTGTCAAAGCATCGGACCTCCAACACCCGACTCCTAAACCCCTTCTTCCCTCTAAGCCCTGAAGCCTTGAAGTCCTCAACCCCTGAACCCTAAAACTTCTAAACCCTGAAGCCCTAGACCCTAAACCCCTTAAGCCCCAAAGGCCCTAAGAGCAGCTTGAAGCCCTGAATTGAAGCCCCTGCAGCCCTAAAGTCATCGGAGCTACTTCGGAGTAGGTAGCGCTCCAGAGGCCCCAGGACATTCTCCTGCTGGTTTTCGCCATGTTTTTGTCTTATATTTTGGTCCTTTGGGTTTGGACTGAGGGTTTCGGGCTTTAGGGTTAAAGGGTGTGTTTAGATTTATGATTTGTTTACGACTGGGGGTCTTGATAACAATGGTTCTGTACGCTATATGTGAAGTCGGGTGTGGCTAATGCTATCGGCAAAAAGGCCTGTATGCATTTACCATAACCCTGGCATACGTCCTGCTTCTTATGGCGACTTACCTGTCCAGGTTCCTACGAGAACTAACGTAGATCCTGGGGGTTACAGTACCCCGAAACATCAAAGTTTACTTGCTCTACTAAACCCTAAAGCCTTTCCACCACAAAGAGCACTCTTGCGCATGCACTGAAGCTTTCTGTCGTTGGGCTTTGCACGGGAGAAATGAAAGAGTAACCGCTACGTTGAAACTGTAAATGATCCAAAAGGCCCCGCCCCTCGCCCCTCTATCCTTGAACCGCAAGACAAACAGCCTAAACTCTGATTCCGAAACCCTAAAGAACGAGAACTCCTAAACGTCAAAGAGCAATCGCCCCAGCACCCTGTGGGTGAAGACATCTTGTTGTGAGGAGGGAGCCCTCGTGCCGCGTGGATGCTGTAAAGAAGGTTTCTGACACCCCCAGATCCGGGGACCAACAGTGAGTACAATTCTACGTGCTAGGCTCAACATCGCCCCGGCTGCAGCTCCCGATGCGGTGCCAACTCACACTTGCCCCTGGCGGCCCCACTGGCTCCGCACGTATCAGTTTGTACGTTTTGGGTCGTTCTGACCCGGGAGTCTTGCCGCTGTCTATCTTGTTAGCCCGTGGTCGTCTGCCGAAGCCGCTCGGTGTTCATCGTCTACGACGGACTGCGAAAGGATATTACGAATTCGGACGCGCCTTTGTCCTACTATTCTGGGGGTCATACCCCGGCAGTAATGTGCTTACAGGATCATGGGACTGAGTAAGTTTTGAAAAAGGTAACCTTTTCCTTTATCTGCTCCAAACCCCAGTTAAAAATACTTACAACCCTACTTACCAAGTATTTTTTGTCCTCCAAGCAGCCTGCAGGTAGCGCATTCGTCGCTTTGAGAGCTCTAGTAGGCAATAGGCTTTCTTCATTGTGTCTCGAGGTGGCTCAGGTTTAGGGTTACCTTTTTTTCCTGCTGAGTAGCGAGGTATACCACAAATCTATAACTTTCCTTTCGGCAGAGGTTTCGGGGATGCTTTGCAGGACTT